CCGCCCGTCTGCCGACCGCGCCCCGCCTGCCGAGCGGCCCCCGGTCGAGCGCGCGCCGCCCGCCGAGCGGCCGGCGGCCCCTGCGGCCGAGAGGCCCGCGCCCAGCCGCGGCGCCTTTGTCCCGCCGCACCTGCGCAATCGAGATGGCGGCGGCGCCGGCGCCGGCGCCGGCCCCGCGGCCGCGGACGGTGACGCAAGGCCCCAGGAGGAGAGGCGCCCTGGCGGCTACAGGCCCCCGGCCGCCAGGCAGGGGGGCGGCTGGTGACGGGACTGAGGCTTGCTTCACTGCATTCGAGGCGGCGCCGCGCTGGGATCAACCGCGTCACGTGACGGCGGATTGCTACGGAAGTCATCCCAGGGGCGGCGGAGCTGCAAAGCAATGGAAGGTTCGGCGGCGCTTGTACGCCACCAGGACAGCGTCGGCGCACATTGTGCGCGCCAACGTGCCGCATGGGGGCCTGCCGAATCGGTCGGGTGTGTCCGGGTTTGCTCGCATGTTGCTTTTGAGTGGATGGTGGGGGCAGCAGCGTTGCCACCTTACTGCCCGTCTTTCTGTGCGCCGTTTGCGCTCAATCTCAGGCTGTGCCGATCAGTTTTTGGTGTAATGGCAAGTTTACAGTTGTGTTCTCAGGTGCCGTGGTCATGGCAGCCATGTCTCATCACATAGCTGATGCGTTGATTTGTGTCTCAGCGGTTGCCCTGGAGGCAGGGCAAGGCGAGCCGAGCAAGTATTGTGCTGCAAATCCAACAGGAGTGTCAATGCATCTGGCATTGTGTTGTTGAGGTGGGAATCCAAAGGTGTGGACAGCCTCGGGACGCACACGTCGCATTTTCAAGGGCAGCTGTTATGAAAACCACAGGATGCTGTTGATCTGGGTGGGGGAGCTGTGACGTTTGTTGATGTTAGGCCGCCTATCATACTCTCGGCGAGTGGCAGTCGGCGCCATAAAGGGGCAGGGGCTGTCAAAGCGGACACACAGCACTTTGTCATGCTTTGCGCTGGGCAGATGCCCTTGCAGCAATGTACTAGGCGCTCAAAAACTGGGCTGCCCTACTAAAATTGGGGTGCCAAGCTCAAGGCTCCCACAGCGGCGAGCTGCAAAACCACTGGCTCATGTTCTGCAAAAATCGACACATGTGCTCAATGATGGCATGCCGAACAGGCAACCCTCAAAAATCCTAAGCCCCGACCACCAGTCCACTGTCCAGCTTCCGCACCACGCACATGCCGCCCCACAACACAGCTACCCACACCTTGACACTGAACACGAAAAAGGACCTGTGCGCGGCTCAGGATGCAAAGCCGTAGCAGGCCCTGCCCAGCGCCGCCGCCTGCCCAAGGTCGACAGCCATCTCACCACCATGCCCATCCAGCGCCGCCCAGTCCACACTCACAAAGAAGGGGTGGCGCATCATGCGCTTCGCAGTGATGCGGCGTGCGGGGTCACGCCGCAGGATGCAGCTCAGGAGGTGCGCCAGCTCGGGGCCCACGTGGGCCGGCGGCACCCAGCAGCCCGCGTGGATGGCGTCATAGGCGCTCTCATAGTCAGCCGGGTTGACGAGCAGGCGCACAAATGTCATGCCCAGCGCCCACACGTCGATGGGGCGGCTGTCGGTGCAGCGCAGCGCGCACCCCACAGTGGCGAGTGCAACGCGCATGGAGCACTGCAGCGACTTGGGCGCGAGCTGCTCCGGGGCCATGTAGTAGGCTGAGCTCTCCGTGTCGAGGCCGTGGTCGCGTGCGCGGCCGGTGACGCCCAGGTCGCTCAGCGTGAGGTAGCCGTCGCGGCCCACCAGCAGGTTGCCCTCCTTGATGTCAGAGTGGCGCAGGCGGGCCTGGTGCACGCGGCGCAGCGCCAGGACAGAGTGCGCGGCCACAGAGAAGAAGACGCTGGGGCTGAGCAGGGGCGTCCAGCCCACAGGGGCGGAGGAAGATGACGACGGGCTGTCGTCGGTGCTGCTGGCAATGTCGGAAGCGGCGGCGGCTGACGGCCTGGCGCGGCTGAAAGGCTTGGAGCGCAGCCAGGCCTGCACCTTGCCCAAGGCGGTGGGGGAGGCGCTGCTGGTGCTGGTAGTGGCGGCGACGGGGGTTCGCGGTTGCGATGGGAGCACAGGACGGTGCCGCAATGAGGCTGCCGCTCTTGTCGCTGGTGATGTCAATGGAAGCGGTTGTGGTCTTGGCCTCACGGCTGCGCTGCTGCTCCAGCCCCAGCAGCGCATCGTGCAGGCTGCCCTCCGCGAGGAGAAACAGGTGGTATGCGTTGCCCCGCCGCTCATCCACCCAGGACGCCAGCGGCGTCTGCACCCAGGGTACGAGGCCCCCCAGGCGGCGCGCAATCTTGCTGCCCCACTTGGCCTCTTTTGAGGGGCGGTCCTCCCGCTTGAGGGCGTAGGGCACGCCGTCGATCTCCACGCGCCGCACCTCACCCTCGCCGCCCATGCCGATTATGCGGCCTGAGCGGAAGCGGGTCAGGGCAGAGGCCACCAGGATGGCCTGCAGGCCGGCCAGCAGCTGCCGCTCCTGCTCGGCGGCCGCCGCTTGCTTGGCTGCCACGGACTGGCGGCGCCGAAGCCTGGTGGGAATGAGGAGGTCGAGGAAGGAGTGGCGCGCTGATGAGGACGTTGTTGCCTCCTTGGGCGCGTCGTCGCCGATGTGAGTGGCGGGGGTGGTGCTGATGGCCGCCGTCCCTTGGTCGTTGTCAGCGGCGGCAGCAGGGGAGGAGGGGCGGCCCGTCACCTCCACTACGCAGGTGGCGTCGCCGACCGCGTCAAACCACTCATCACCAGCAGGGTCTGTGGCAACTGCTTGGCCAGGGGCGACGGGGTGTGTGTCGTCGCGGCTGGTGGCCTCGGCGTCGTCGCTGCCGCGCAGGCGCAGCAGCCCCTTGAGCTTTGCGCTTATGCTGGAAGCGGCATGCGCGCTGGCCGCAGCTACGGCGGCCTGGGCGCCACTAGACACGGGCTTCAGCTGCGCGGCCGTTGGGGCAGCATCGCCGCAGCTGCTTGGCACGTCAAGCCGCAGAAGGCTGTGGAGGCCAAGGGTGTGGGGATATGGGAGAAAAGGTGTCTCAAGTCTGAACCCTTGCTACTGTTGCTTCACGACCGCTGCTTCATGTGAAGATGTGCTGCGATGCCCTGCAGCCACGTGGCCACTGCAGTGGCATGGCTGCTCCGTCAGCACGAGCATGCGCGCCCCATCCACCGCCGACGTGCCTGGGCCTCCTCTGCTTCACCTTGAAAGTCTGAAGCTACGCATAGAGAACATTCTCGGCTGCTGGGACGGCTCGCAGGCCTCCATCGTGACCGGTCGAAGCTTGCGGAGGCTCTCCGGGGAGCTCGGGCGTGGCAAGGCTGTTTATGTGCTGGAAGGACTTCAGAACGTTAGATGCATGAGTCTCGAGAGTGGACGTTGTCAGATTTGCGCGGCGGAACTAGCTGCCCCTGAGCGGTTTTAGCTACCTTAGCTCCGCTCAGCTGCCTGTGTGGGCGCTATGCACCCACCAGCACGCGCGTTCCGTCGCAATTTGCGCTGCTCACACGCTCATTCTTCTCGCAACAATTTTTTCTTACAAATCACGTGGGCTGCAGGACTGCGGCGCAAACATCCCTGTGAAGATGCCAGTGCGTTCTCTGTGTCTGCCGGGCGGGCTTTGCCCCGCATGCTGTTCGTACACAGCTGGGGAGTCACAGCAACAACAGGCGCATTAGCAGAACCAGTGTATTAGACACCGATATGAAACACAAGTCACTCACTTGTTGCAAGGCCGGGCAGTTCTGGCATCCAGCAATGTGATTAGGTACAGCGCAGATGCTTTTCAACAAAGGTACAGGGCAAGCCACTTGCAGCAGCGCACGGCGAGCAGGCCTCATATCGAGCACGAAAAGCCATAAGTGTTTCATGCAGCGCCTGGCACCGCCGCCAAGGCCTGGCTGAAGTCGTCCAGCAGGTCTCCCGTCGCCTCAACGCCCACGGCCACGCGGATCAGGCCGTCTGATATACCGGCTGCCGCACGCTCCTTGGCGGTCAGCCCCGCATGGGACGTCGTTGCTGGCCGCGTGACTGGCAAGGGGCGGACGGGGTGGTGGGGTCGGAGAGGGCGTGTTGGGCATGTTGGGCAATTGGGTGTTGGATCTGCGTGCATGTGCAGGTTTGTGTGCTAATGGTGCATATGTGTGTGTATGCTTGTTGGTGATATTGGTGTTGGTGTGTGTACGCATGCACGCTTGCGGCTGGGCATGCAAGCAGGTGTGAGTGTGGGTGGGTGAGTGAGTGATGCCGCAAACAGAAATGCACGTGCACGACGTGCGTTCGTACGTGCGTGTGCGTGTGTGTGTATGTGTGTGTGTGTGTGTGTGTGTGTGTGTGTTTGGATCTAGAATCGATTGCAATTCAACCAGACGTGCTGAAATGACCTCCTCAATTGAAGCACAAAAATCCCTGCCCATCAACCCTCTTTGCGCGCCCACCTAGCGATTCAACGCCCCCCAGGGAAGGCGCCACCAGCGGCAGCTGGAGCCGCTTCAGGAACGCCTCCGCTGCATCCACCCCTCCTGCCAGCTCAAAGCTGAACACACCCCCGCAGCCGCCGTTGGTGAAGAGCTCAGCAGCGCGCTTGTGGTGCTTGCTGGACTTCAGGCCCGGGTAGTGGACCGCCGCCACCTTGGGGCCCGCCTCCGACAGGAACTGGGCCAGGGCCAGGGCTGTGAGTCAGGGTGCGGGAGGATGGGCCACTGAAGTGTGGGCAGGTATCGTCCAGTGACGGTGCTTGGCAATGCCATGGCCCAGGCTGGGGGGGTGAACCCACCAAGTTGGCACGCAAAAAGTGTATGGGCTTTACAATTGCGTACATGGTCAGTGGTGGCCTGAGCATGCCACAACCACAAGAGTGGGCGTTTGAGTGGCACAAAGGATGCGCAGGGAGCGGTGCCGGGCGTTGCAGGAGGGCCTCACCGTTGCGATTCTGCTGCTCCACGCGAAGCCCCAGGGTGCGCAGCCCCCGGGACAGCAGGAAACACGAGTGCGGGTCGATCGCAGGGCTGTGTGCGCAGGTGGCGCAAGCAGGAGGCGGCGGTCAGATCCCCAACCGCAGGCAAGCTGGTGGGTGCGTGCAGACTCCAGCCTGCCACTAAAGCCAGAAACAAAGGCGCAAGTACACGAAGAGGGCTCCCGGGCGCACATGTAGGCTCACCTCCGTTGGGATGCTCCCTACCCCAACCCAACACCAGCGCACCCACCCCAGGACGTTTGCCGTGACGCGGATGGTCTCGATGAGCTCCTGTCCCCCCAGCACCACCCCGGCGATCAGGTCGCTGTGGCCGTTGAGGTACTTTGTGGCGCTGTGCAGGGTGATGTCAAAGCCCAGCTTGGCCGGCTGCAGGTTCACCGGCGACGCAAACGTCGCTGCAGGGCGGCGGCACGGGGAGGCAGGGCAGGCGAAAGTCTCGCGGGGCCTGTCGCTGCAACAGCCGCCGCCTCAGGCCCTCGAGGGCGCGCCGCTGCTGTCGAGCCTGAACACGGCTGCGCGCAGGCGCTGGCGGGGCAAATGCTCCCTGTGCCGCACCGTCGATGACGCTGAGCAGCTTGTGCTCCCTGGCAAACTTGGCAATGCCTGCCAGGTCGTACACCTGATTAATGAGGGGGGCCCATGGAATTCGAACGGCGGTCGTTTGAAATGATCGTTGCAGGGGCGGCAGGTGCCGCGCCTGTGCTCATCTTCTGGCCCCAATGCAGTGGCTCACTGCACAGGGCCTTATCAGGTGCTGAGACCCCGTAAGCACGTGTCTTCCCGGCCACTGGGCTGGATTCGCTCTCTGCCTGCACGCCCCCACCTCGCACAGCGGGTTGCTGATGGCCTCAGCGTAGAACAGCCGCGTCTTGCCGGGCTGCAGCAGCGCCTCCCACTGCTCCGGGCCGTCCTCAGGGGACACCGCGCTGGACGTCACGCCCCACTTCTTCAGGAGGGACGCCACCAGATCGTGCGTGCCGCCTGCAAGCACGCGTGCATGACAGAAACCTCGGCCGCAGTCTTACACATGCTGGCGGCTGCACAGCCGGCTGCTGCTATGTGCGCCCTGAGCATGCGCATCGACCCCTCTTCAACCCCTCGCCGCCCCCGGCCCGCGAACTTACCGTACGGGCCGCGCACGATGAGGATGTGCGCGCCTGGCTCCAACAGGGCCAGCAGAGTTGAGCTGATCGCAGCCATGCCGGATGCCACCGGGAGCGCCGCCTCTGTGCCCTCCAGCGCGGCCAGGTGTGCCGCCACCGCGGTCTGGCTGGGGTTGTTGTTGCAGCGCGTGTAGCGAACATTGTCGTAGCCCTCCTCGGTGCCCTCAAACTGGAGGGTAGGGGGCAGGAGATCGGACATTGGTTCTGCGGCTTGAAAGCGCATGTTGCTGAGTGGGAGCAAGAGCAGGTGACGACTGCTTGACATGCGCTTGCTGCTTAAGCCAGCTTTGACCCAACCATGAAGTTGCAATGCGAGCAGCAGCACACAGCTGCATCGCACCTCAAACGTGGCGGCCTGGAAGATGGGCGGAACGGATGCGCCCAGAACCCGGCCCTGGGCAGACGCAGCCTGAACGGCGACTGTCTGCAGACCGTGCTGCCTTTGCGGCGTTCCATTCCTGTGGTGAAGTTGCATCAGCATGAAGTCATGCTTTCAGCTCATAAGGCTCCTGTGAGCCTGTTTCATGACACTAGCCGACGCATCATCCCGCGACAACTGCATGATGACACCCCCCGCAACGGCACGCCGTGGCGCCGCCCAGCCTCAAGCGCCGTCCGCATGCTTTACTGAACAGGTGAGTAATGCGACCAAGCTGGCACAGCTTTGCCTCATTTCGATCGGACCTGCCCTGCAGATCTGACTCGGCCATCTTGCGTCGCTGTACAGTATGAATGGTGCACGCAGCACAGCACAAAACCAACGGCAACTATGTGCCGTGTTCGTGAACACAAACAACGTCGCTCGACCTGCATACAGTACGGTACCATATGGCGGCACAGAACCGTCGGCGAGTTTGCATTTCGAAGGACCAATGGCCGCGAACGCTGCGGCGACGAAACAGCGATCCCGGACCATCGTGCACTAGTGTCTCGCACATATTGCACTCCACTCCGCACAAGAGCAGCACCCCAATCAGCAAGCAAGTCAACACCCAAGTTTGATTGCTTCTGCAGCAATGGCGGAGGGCCTGACAAAGCTGGAGCTCGAGAGAGAGGCGCGCATAGCAGCAAACAAGCAGAAGATTGCGGTGAGCAGCTCGCTCAGAGTTGGCACGAAGGGCCAGGGCAACAATGCGCGACATGAGGGGCATGGGCACGCTCTCCTGACGTACACAAAGAATTATGATGCATCCAAAACTTCAAAGGGTGTGCCTGCTGGGCTTGCAGCTGCGCGCGCAGCGCGGTTCGATTTCCGCACACCAAACGTTGCTGGTGCGGACTTCGCGCCGCCTCATGCCACCTCGCGTCTTGCGCCTTGAACACCTCTCCGCTCCCGTCTGTCCACCCACCGCCCCCAGGAGCTCGGTATCCATGACTCAGTTGCCGCCGTGCAGGAGCTTGCAGATGCCAAGCCGGCCAAGCCGAAGCGCGCGCGCGCGCCGCCGGCTGAGCCGGCGGACCCTGCTGAGGTGCGGCGCTCGCAGCGGCCCAAGGCCGAGGTCAACTACGCCAAGCTGGTCGACAGCGAGCGCGAGGACCGCGGCCCACGCGAGGCCGTGGACTACACCGAGCGCATCAAGATGCTGCAGCTGGACGCCGAGGCGGCCGAGAAGCTGCGCGCAGAGATGGAGGCGCGGCGCGAAGGGCGCGGGGAGCGGAGCGGGGAGGGCAAGAAGGCGGGGCCCAAGGACTCTGGCAAGGGGGTGCGAGTGCAGGTGAGGGGGAAAACGGGTTGAATGTACCACTTGGAGCTGGCTCCATTGCGCATGCGCGTGCACTCGGGGACATGCTCAGTGGAAGGGACTCGCGCTGGTCGCTCAAGCTGGGCCGCTGTGCTGCAGAGGGCAATAACGCCGAGAAGTGTCCAACAGCCCCTGCCGCACGCCAATGGTTGACAGGGCGGAAAAGTGTACGACTCCACCTTTGGCGTCACCTGCCACTGGTGCGCAAGGGGGGAGCCAGGACGAGGCTGCATAGCAGCTGTCAGCATGCATGGGGCCGGACTAGCACCCGGCAGATGTTCAGTGGTTTGCTGCCCTGTGGTGCCGACTCTTAGCGCCCAGATGTAATGCGCTTGGCCACATGTCGCCGCCCACAGGTGCCGCCAGAAGACGCTGGAGGCGCACGTGACCTGCACCAACCCCAAGTGCGGCAAGGGGAAGATGCCCTACTCCTTCTGGTGCGTCGTGTATGTGGCAGAGGGAGGGGCGGGCGCGAGGATGTGCGCTCATGGGCGGTTGGCGCAATTGGTGCAACAGGGGAGGTGGCGCTCCATTCTTCGTCAAGAGGCGTACGCATACCTGTGGCGTCTCAATTGCGTCAGCAAGCAAAGCTGCATGCACCTCACAGGTTTATGCCAAACCAACATAACCTGGCCCATTGCGCCGCCTCAAATCTGTTTCACCACCCCCAGCCACAAGTGCCTCAAGAACCGCCACGGGGAGGATGCAGAGGAGGCAGCCGTCAGCGGGGCGTGGGTGTGCCCCCCCTGCCGCGGCTCCTGCGGGCCCGGCTGTGTCACCTGCTGCAACTGCGGCCCCTGCCGCAAGAAGGTGCGCGGGGCGGGCGGTCGCGCTCGCGGGGCAACCACTCGTGCCCCTGGTCCTGCCTCTCTACCAGCCAGCCCGTCAAGCATGCCCTTGTCTCCACCCCCTCACATTGTCCCAACCAACTTCAATCCGGCGGCACCTTCCCCTTCCAGGCCAGCCTGGAGCCCACGGCCCAGGTGGTGTTCATGGCGCGCGCCGCGGGCTTCTCCAACGTCCACGATTACGTGGTGCACCTGGTGACGGGGGAGAAGGAGGAGGACATCGCGGCGCGCAAGGCCAAGCACGCCTGGGGCGCCTGGCTGCACGGCGGCGACGGCGGAGACGGCGGAGACGGCGGCGACGGCGGCAGCGACGCGAGCGCGCAGACCGCAGGCGCGGGGGCAGAGGGCGGCGACGAGGAGGGTGCGGCGGGGGGTGAGCAGGGGGGTGAGCAGGCCGAGGCTGAGGAGCAGCAGGAGCGGCAGAAGACCCCTAAGAAGCAGCAGGCCAAGGGGCGCGGCAAGGCCAAGGTGGGCAAAGAGAGCGTTGAGGCGGCAGGGGTGAAGAAGCCGGCGGCTGCGGGCAAGCCGCGCAAGAGCAGCGGCGGCGGCAAAAAGGCCAAAGCGGCGGCGACTCAGGGCGAGGCGGCAGAGGAGGAGGCGGGCCAGCCTAAGGCGGCGCCAGCGCCTGCGTCGTCCCCTGAGGACGCCGCCGCCCCCAAGGGCGACCAGAGCAGCAAGGCGTCGCGCAAGGCACGCATGATGCAGCGCATGGGCCTCGCGCCCCGCACCTCCGAGGGCGTGGCTGCCTGAGTGGCTGCGGGGGCTGGGATCTTGTGTTTCTTTTCGGAAGGGGGTGACTGCCAAGCCTGGATCCAGGATTTTTGAGGAGGCGCCCCGACCCACGCAAGCGGCGCTGTGCTGGCCAGAGAGTGGCTTGCGGGTTTCACTCCGCGTGCTGGGGTGTAGGCGTTGCGATTGTGCCTGATCGTGCACACCCAATCAGATTTGATGGTCTGAGGTTTGGTCAAGTTTGCTCAGTGGCAGGCAAGGGCCCTCATGCGTGCGGCACCGCGACGGTGGCTTTCTGTGGTGCACCAAGCCCTGGCATGCACGCCCATGCTGCACCGCCTGCTGTGTTTGTTTGAGCAAGCTGCGATGGGGCTTGTGGCAAGGCAAGGGTGTTTTAGACTCCTTTGGACGTGGAGTCAAACATGCCATTGTACTGGTGCAATGCCAGCCAGACCTCAATAGCTTTGAACGTGCATTCCCTGCCATCGCAAAGCACTGTGTCCGCACCGCGCCTTGTATGCCCACGCGTATCATAGTCATCATCTATAGGCAGCCCAAAGCTGTGCTGCATTGCTTTTACAATCCCCACCGCCACAGATGGTTCTTGCGTCACCGCCCACAATTCCCCTCCTGCCACAACCAAAACTTGTAATTGCAGTAAGCAGGCATCCAGGTGTGGTTGGCTTTTACACGAGTGACGTGTGCAAGCGGTTGTTCGCTCAGCCCTGCTTGACCAGGGCCACCACGAGGCGGTAGGCGTCCTCATGCGTGAGGCCCACCTTCAGGTCAAGGTCCCCATACGCCCCCGCCAGCTTCAACCCAGAGAGCCGCCCCAGGAGGTCGAGCTCCTGCAGCGTGAAGGACCGCTGCGGCACCACGCACTCGTGCAGCTGCTCCCCCGGCTCGCCGCCCTCCATGCAGCAGACCGACACCGTGCGGCGCAGCACCTGGGTCGCTGGGTTAAAATCGTCGCCGGCGGCGCCCCACTCTATGAGCAGCTTGCCGCCCTGGCTGGCCGAGTCAGCCTCCCACATCTCGCCGCCCTCGTCGCCGATCATCAGGGTGCCGTCAAACAGGTCCCCTGGGTGGGGTGAGGCAGGCCAGCGGCGTGGCGCGTGCGTCAGCAGAGAGGCGCCACGGCGGAGGAGCCGGGTGTGCATGCGCAGTTTGCATGACTGTGTTTCATGTCCAAGCATTGTTGGCAGAAAGCGTGCCAAGAATGCACTACTAAGACATCGTTAGTACACCAATGATAAGATTAGCCTTGCCCATGATATTGCAGCCGGCATCCCCCCTCCGCATGCCCGCCCAGTGCCCGTGCCGCAGCCCTGCGCCCTGCACCCCAGCCTCCCCACCAGGGTGCGCCAGCTCCAGCAGCAGCACGCCCCCCGGGCGCAGGTGCTTCGCAACGGAGGCAAAGGCAGCTGCGGCCTGGTCGTTGGTGGTCATGTGTGAGAAGGTTCCTAGCAGGCACATTGCCAGGTCGAGGCGCCCCTCCAGGCCCTGGGCGGGGTGGGGTGAAATCGCACACAATATGGAGGTGTGGTGGGTGGGGTGGACCACACATGCATGCGATGACCCCAAGTGCGTGGCCAGAGCATCAGCGCCGCGGCCTGGATACTCACTCACACATAGTAAGTATACCCGCCACATCTGCCAGCACGGCTTTGGCACGCTCATGCAAAAGGTGTCGGCCTTGCAACCAAGCAGCAGCAGCAGCAGCAGCAGCAGCAGCAGCAGCAGCTCCCGCACCTCAATTCCAAAGCCCGCCATGTCGCCCTCGACAAAGGTGACATCAGCACCCGCCTGCCCTGCCAGCCGCCGTGCGTAGTCCAGCATGGCGGCACTCGCGTCCAGCGCCCACACGCGCACGCCAGACTTGGCCAGCAGCGTCGCGTGGCGAGCGGGGCCACAGCTGCGAGCGTGCAACAGGGAGAGAACACGGCTGTGATGCGAGGGCGTCTGCCTGCGGCCGCTTGGGGCTGGTACAAAAGCCACAGCTTCTCTGAATTTGCATCGCGTGAGCACGCGTGCAGCCACACCGTGACATCGGACTGCTGCCGCGCCCAGTTGAGTGCAACTGCGCACGCTGCCGGCCGCCGGATCCGCGCCACCCACCCAAGCTCCAGCGCCGTTTCCAGCGGCCGCCCCTTGCAGTGGCGCGAGTACGCCGCCCGCACAAACGCCACCTCAGCCTCAAAGTTGCGGAAGCCGAAAACCTGGAGTTGCGGGATCACACATGCGGCGCACCGTGTGACACACCGATGTGAGCGTAAAAACTGTGGGGCCTGACACTGCTCCCGCTATGTGCAAGAAGGCGGCACGTGCCGGCTTGCGAGGGGCCGTTGTGGTATCAGAAGCTGTCTTGCGGTGGTCTCACCTCGTCATAAAGCTCTGGCTGATCGTACATGCTGCTGCCAGTGCTTTCCTTGCTGTGGCTGGCGCCACCACTACCGCTGCCGCCGCCGCCGCCGCCGCCGCCGCCGCCGCTGCTGCTGCTGCTGCTGCTGCTGCTGGTGCCGAAGCCAAGGCCAGCCTTGCCGGCAGCCACGGACGTGTTGGTACTGCGCGCACGCCAGCGCACAGCGGCAACCCAGCCTGCGAGGGGGCCGATTGTTGCTGGGCTGATCACCAGGATGGGGACGGATGTCGGGCGCAGGAGGAAGGTCCCCTGGCTGCACAGGTTCGCGTCCAGGAACGTGCCCCACGAACACGTGCCACTCCTACCTTTGCTGCGTTGGCTAGGGCTCATTGGGAGCGCCTTCTGCACCCCGCAGCAGCGAGCCGCCGCCAGGCGCAGCGCGCATACTCGTCGCAGCAGCATGTCACTGCCGGCGAGGCTGGCGCAGCTTGCACTGAAATGCTTTGATACCGGTTTCGTTACGTGATGGTGAATTCAACAGCTTTGGTATGTATATTACAAGCACAAGTGCCAATGGTGCCTTGGTGCGCTGAAGATCAGGCGCGCAATTCACAGTTCGTCATTGGCTTGAGCTAGAATATCATCAAATCGAGTTACAAGGGAGGCACGTTAAGTTCAATCATAGTAGAACACGTCCCGTGTATGTGCTGCACTGCAAGCGTGGCTGGTGTGCCCAGTCACAGTGACCCAGCCCAGCGTCCAGCTTATCATACTGCACAGTTCTACAGTACGACCGACCCATGAACGCAGAGACGAGCGAACCTGACAACCCATCATCAAAGGAGCAAATATGTGTCGTCTGCATGCTCAACGCTATCTCTTGCTCCTGCCGGTGTGAAGTTGCCATCTGGTTGGCCACTTGCCACCAGACGCTTTCCTCCTCCGCATCGCACAATTTCTGTGCCGGCACGCACGGATATTGCCGCGGATCAGTCACTCAATTGAATATGCTTTTTATGACATACTGCCCGTGAACATGATACCCAGAGCACGGCCGTACAGCTTAGCAATGACCAAATTAGTACTGGCACTGCCTTGCCCGCATCTCAGGTGCTGTCGGCTAGGGAGACATGTTGATCCATTACATCATTCTAACAGACAGCGAACAATTGCACCAAACACAAGGCTCACTTGTGATCAAGCATTTTGCTTGGCGCCAACCTGCTGCTCGATGTTGTGGCTCTCGCCCCAATCTCCCCCCCCGGCTGTCAAGCTGCAACCAATTGCTTGATGGCTGCATTTTGGGAGAGAGTCATCTTTCTCCTAGCCAGACAAGAGATGACTCCCTGCAGGTTGTTAGATGTGATCAGACAGCACTTTCCTGACATTGGCGAATAAGCTATGCCACAGCACGTCATTGTACGGTGTGCCAAACCGTCTCACTGGCATGTGTTGAAGCCCCAGAAGCGTTAGCAGCCTGTCACAAGACCAGCCACAAGCAACCGCCGGTGCAGTGTGGAGGACGCAGG